GCATGTTTGTAAGTATGGATCAGATTCAAATATAACACGTAGGATTTGGTTCTAATTTGTACACATCCTAAAACTGATAAAGTAACCATATACCGTTCAGATTCTGGATATATTGGTTTGGAAATCTAAAATCTAAAACCAAAATAAAAAGATACTTATTTTTGTAGAATTTGATATTAAAATACTTATTTAAAATTTAAATAATTAATTTTAAACAGAATTTTCAAATAACTATAGAACTAAATATTTAAACTAGATATATATGTTTCAAATATTTATATTTATGATTAATTTGAACATTCAGATTTATTTAGATTTTTTTCCAGATTTTTTGTTTTTTTGGTTATTCATTCGGGTCTGGCTAATAACACTTTGATTCAGATATATTTGTACCACTCTAAAAAACTCATTCTGATATAGTTTAGATTTTGACTATTACGGATCCAAACTTTTTTGTTTAGATTGAGTTTAGACGTCGAGTTATGAATTTTATGCACATGTCTACTTTATATAAAACAAAAATCTGGTCATATAAAATTTTCACTGAAAGATTATCCTATATTTTTAAAAATACTATGTTTGATGAAATTAATAAACTAAATAAGTCTATCTCACATTCTACATATATACGAACTGTGATTATATAAAGTTTGCATCAAACATAAATCCGCGCTTTCAAAGCGCGGGTCAAAATCTAGTTGTATATTATAAATTTGTTTGTGGGGGAGTTTTTACTTAGATAATGTCTTTAACTAAAAACTTAGTCTTTTAATAAAATTATTTTATAATAAAATATATGTAGAAATAAAGCTATATACAGTAGAACCTTTATAAATTAGTACTCGATAAATTAATAATCTCTATAAATTGATAAATTTGGCCGGTCCCATTTTAGCCTAGTTCAAAATTTGACACAAATCGATAAAATAATAGATACTTTTTTTAGAAAATCTATGTAAATATATGGTACCACTAAAATTATAAATTAATAATGTATGTGTATATATATTTTATATAAGTAAGAATCTATCATTATATTGTTTGTTTTATATTATAAATGAAATTATCTTTATATTTTCTAACACTTAATATATTTTTGATGAGATGTTGTAATATATATATCTAAAACTACATTTAAATTATATGAAATATATATTATATACACTAAATGATATAATAAAATCAATATAAATGTCAATTCTGAAAAATAATAATAACTGATGTCTATACACTAAAATCAAATAATTTTTAAGTTAAAAATAATTAATATCTTAAAATAAAAATCTAAATAAGAAAACTTTAGTAAATTAATATCTCTTTAAATTAATAAAATTTCAAAATCCTAGAAGTTTTACTGTATAACATTCAAACAAGCTATATCAG